TAAATATTAATGATGGTGATTGGAGGGTAGGTGGTTTGCGGGCATCATTTACCCCATGAGACACCTAATTTAAATATGTTATTTTATGTAGATATATGTATTCATATTGTAGCCAGCACGAGCGTGTTTGTGTTCGATCGGGCACACGTGTGCGTGAAAGGCTTATCGATTCGCCGATTAGCCGCGGGCGCCTTTCTTCGTGTGCGCCGTATTTGTAAATGTATGTGTCGTACCTGCATTCTGGGATAGCAGTTGAACAGTTCAAAGAAAAAATAAACGATCCGGATGTTTCTAGAGGGTTCCAGAAAGTAAACAAAAGAGTATTTAAAGGAAGAGACGATCGCCGAGAGGAGAGAAATAAATTGACCGTTGCAGAAGTTAATCCAGAAATAAACTGACAGTGATAGCAGTGAAATAAATAGCAAAGCGAATAGTGTTTTTAAGTTCTTTAATAATTAGTGTAAATAAATAGTTTTTGTCGTTATCATTCTTAGAGTTAATTTTGTTAAACCCACGAACATTACAATATTCACCTTCTGTATACCTCAAGGATCTATGTTCTGTATATTTTGTTTTTAAACTTTTATTGCAGTTTGTTATCGATTAAAATTTGTGAGGAGTAAGACCTACAGAAATTAATTATTATTTACTTAATATCCAATATATGTATATTAGAGCTGATAATTGTTTTTCACCAGTTTCGCTTGATTAGGAGTCACTGGCGAGTAGAAAAGTCGAAAGAAAAACCGCCTTTTCGATACAACTGTGTAAAATATTCACGCAATGACGAAAACGTGTCTTGCAAAACTTGCGTTTGTTATTTTTACTGCATTATGGACAGAAAGGTCATTGTACTTCTCATTTTGCCTATGTACATGTGGACTACACGTTTCTAAAAGCTTGTATAGCAAAATAGTAATGTATGTGTAGGTATAGAACTCTTATATTATAGAAAGTTCCAAATGCAAATAAAAACCGTAGCTAAAGCATGGAAACGTTTTCTTTCGTTTCTTTAATACACTCACGCACAAAACCTTAATTATTATTATTATACATTTTAAAACTGAACGTCAGATAGATACGTTTTATTTTTAAAACTATACAATTATTGATTTCAGACTGTAAAGGGCCATTCAATATAAAATTAAAATGGTGTGTCGCATTAAGGACCAGGGACGATGAGGGTATAAAAATGGCCCCTAGTAATAGTGAGTTCAATAAGTTTTTAAAATTATTTGTTTTATTAATGTTTTCCTATTCCTTCCACTTATTCTAATAATGGATTACATTTAAGCTCATTTTGATATTTGAAGACAATGATTTTAACATAACACACTGAAACAAGAANAAAATTCGCATATTTTTTGTTCCCTTCACATACAGTACTGTTTTACGAATTTCTCCATTTCTATGACTCGAGATTCGGGAGCGGGTTTAACATAATAAAAGTTTCTTTAATTCTATCAATTTTCTTAGCCGTAGGGATAATTCATCAAATTTTTAAACGGTACTAATACCAGCGTTTTTCACTGCAGCACTCTTAATATTAAATCATGGAAAACGCCAATAATAATTCGGTTGCCTATGTAGAAAATACGATAGGTCAAAGCTTAGTCCAAGCTTGCTTAATTTCGGTCCGAGATTGGCAACCAATATATTGAATTAAGCATGGCAAATGCTTGGTTTGTCACCTTGGCCCAAACCTGGTTGACAAGCTTGGTCCAAGACTGGACAGCCACAGCTGAACAATACCAACCCAAAATTGGACAGCCAATATTGGGTCAAGATTTGATCAATAAAATTAATCCAATATTGGGAAACTGCGTCGCTTTCCATCTTGGCTAATACTTACTTCGTTGCTCAGTATTGGATATAGCTTAACGAAATGTTTATATACTAAGCCTTAACAGCCAACTTGACAGAACACTTTGGTCGAGTATTGACAATCCCATACTTATTGACCCAGTATTGGACCAAAATTGGCGAAAAGTTAATAAACCTCTAGCTTTGACATTTTAACTCTATATTTTTTGTCTCGTTATTTTAGATAGTAATGCTCTCAAAAAGGCTACAAATTGTGTTTTTGAGATTTGTTAGGATATCTCGAAATCCTGACATATGACTCGGAAATGACATTTCTGACCTTCGTTCATTGACCTACTGAATATGGACCAGTGATAATTACGTGAACGAAGATATAAAACGAATAATAGCATTAGGTCGGGTCGCTTTAAGCAAAAAGAAATCACTTTTGTGCTTGCGACCTGCTAATTTAGAAATTCAGAAAAGATTATTAAAAGTGTATGTTTGGAGCAAGGCAATGTATGGGTGCGAAACGCAGGCGGTGGGCATTGCAGAAAAGCAAGAGTTAGAAGTGTTGATAATATGGAGCTATAGATTTAAAATACCATAATTAGAGATGAGGAGACATTAGAAAGATTAGGAGATCAGAGGGTGTTATGAAAGTTATTAAAAAATATGCTAGGTAAGTTGGTAGACATGAAGGGCTGGGTAGAGACATGTTGGAAGCAAAAACAGGAGTTAAGAGGGGCATAGGTAGACCTGCATTAATTTATTGTTCGCAAACTGTTAGAAATGTAGGTTATTTTCGAAGATTGACTCAAAATGTGTAAAAATGGAGGTGATGCATGTCCTACCAGTTTTCGGGCTTGAAAATCCATTTTCCGACGCTATAAAATTTCTTTTTTTAATTGAACTTGACATATTCGTATATCTATTCAGATAAGAAGAAAAAACGATTTAAGAGAGAGAAGCGATTCAAAATTAATAAAAATGTAATTTTTTCGATTTTTTACGATTTTTGTACTTCTTGAGACCCTAAATGAGCAATGAAAACATTCATTTGAATTGATAATAAAACTTGAAGAAAAAAAGTGAAAACGGTTTCGAAGCATAACTTTATTAAGATGCGTCTTTATGGTCATTAATGTGATTAATGGCAAACAAAAAGACGATAACTCATGAGATAGGTAGTTCTCAAAAAACAATTAGATTGTTTAAAAACGCGCAAAATTTAATTTTCATCGCTTTGGGACCGTTTCTCTCAAGAAACTGTAATCCTTTTTTAAAAGATACACTTTGGTTTAACAAGTCGAACACTTTTCGTTCGAAAAGAAAATTTTCAAATACAAAACTGAATGAGTTTTTTAAAACTAAAATTTTTTTAAAAATAAAACAGTAGGTAGGTGAGCAAGCACCTAATTACTTATCAGATTGGTACATTATTGAGCATCTTAGAGATGATGTATGTTAAATAAACACTTAATCGCATTGTTTCCAGCGAATTTGAATTGGGAGGATAAAATTAGTACGATTTGGTGTATGATACATGTGAGTTTCGTAGAATGAAAACCGATTTCAGCTAGAGGACAGCGCAGCTCCGTGTCGCTTCCTGTTTTAGGCTGTAACTTACGACTAGTTACAGATATTGATCTGACACTTATTTATTCGTAATCTACGTCAAATTTCCATGCGAATCCGTGGGTAATATGTCTATATTCGATGCGCAAATAAAGCTTTTCGAAAAAACACTGGATCCCATTCTTGTTAACTCGCAACCATTCGAATATATAATAGTAAACGTTACGTATGTATTGAGCTATACGCTGTACATGTATATACATACTATATGTATGCGAACGTTTGCATTTATATATATATATATAGCAGAGGTACATACGTCACATGCACAGAAAGAAGATAAGACACTAATACGTTACATAGGTGCATACGTACTTGTGCTGTTATGTACTTAATACATCCAGTAGGTATGTTACATGAATCATGAATATAATTGCAAACTAACGTGCGTTTTTCTGTCTTTCTCCCGTATTGCGAGACACCTCGTTATTTGTACAGTTACTGTAATAATGCGAACATTTAAATTTCTATTTCGGTGAAGGGTAGCGAAACGAAGTATTGACTCGGGATGCTTCCATTTTATGTGATGTTAGCGTAATATCGTGGATAGTAGAGTGGAGCGGTTTTAGTACACGACAGTTGTTTGAGCGACCGGGCCGAGCATTTTCGGAGGACGGGGGGGAGTCATAAAGTCAGATTCACGCAGCTAAACGTTTGGTTTTATTGCTAGCCCAAATAATGTCGAATTGCGAACGTTACTTATTATCTTACTTTTCTCATCAGTGATCATTATTATAAAAACAACGATAATGTTA